CGCTTGCCTTTGACTACTCCGAGAGCCGTGTGAGATGGCCCCAAAGGATGTGATTGAAGAAGACAAATTTGGTTTTCTAAAAACGTGATGCAAAAAGAGTATGAAAGGCAACGGTGACCTTCCGTTGGACTTCTCTGCTGTCTGTGGCAGTGGCTATTGTTTTGCTTTTCAGAATAACTTCAGTGTTAGGGCTGCATTCGTTTATAATTTCTCAGAAGGGCAGCAAAATAAAGTAGCTTTAAAAACTTGATCACCCCTAAAAAATCCTTATATCTGATATCCAGTTTTCTGAGGAAATACTGTAAGGGCAGTGTGTTTCTTACATGAAGTCATCGTGAACATCCTTCCTGCCAGAGCTTTTTCAGAACAGTCGAGCACCTCCCTCGCATTCATTCAGCTGCCGTTCACCGAGCGCCAGGTGCTGGGCTCACAGCCCTGAAGCCCGCAGAGCCCTGGCCTTGCCTGGCTGGCGCCCAGTGCTGCGCGCACACAGCGCGTGTGTGCGGGAGGGAGTGCGCACAGCACGCTTCTGCGTCACTCCCCAGGGAACTGCCGCTTTTGCTGGGAGGAGTTGAAAAAGGAAGGCTTCATGGAGGGAGTGACTTAGGAACCAGGCCGGGCATAATTAGGGCACAAAAGGAGGACAGAGCAGAGCAGCATGTGGGAGTTGTGTGGTTTCACGTGTCTGCTGTGGGCAGTGGTGGTAGTGGGCCAGCTACAGAATTTGGACTTCATTAGTAGGTGATATCTAAGGCTTTTCAGCAGGAAGATCATTCCTGGTGGCCGGAAAGTTGTTTCGAAGTGGTAGTGGAGGCAGGAAGCTAGGTTAGTTAAAGATACTGAGTTGAAGGAAGAATCAGGGAGGCAGGGAGGAGATAAAAGCAAGAGGTGCTGGAGAGTATCTGCTAACCAAAGATGCAGCGGTTTGAAGTGTAGATGCAGAGCTCAGCAAAGAGAAGACAGATCAGAGCTGTAGGCATGATTTGGGAACCACGGAAGTGAGCACAAGTCCCAGGGATCGAGAGCCAGGCGGCCCCGCAGTTCCAGGGCCTGCAGAGAGGCTGCAGGAGCCCGAGGGGCAGGTGGGGACTTCTCCAAAGACTGTGGGCACTTTTAGCCCCTGATGTAGGGACAGAAACACACACACCCCTCCAAGATCTGGAGAATTCCTGAGAGAGCCACACATTCCTGAAGTCTGTGCTCTTGAGCTCTTACGTCAAAATAAGTGATGAGGTTGTCATTGGAGGGTAAGCAGGAGCGTATTCCAGAGAGCACAGATGCAGCCCTCAGCACACTCGGCACTGGAGCGTGCTGTGGATTGTATGGCAGTTGAGCCTGTACGTTCAGACAAGATGCTGCGAACCTGTACTTTTTCCTGGAACGTAAAGCCCTTCCCGGAGGACGGAGCACTGGGCAGCAGACTTCAGGGTGTGCTCGTGGCCGGCTGCCTCCAACGAAAGGGGCTGGGAAGTAGCTGGGGACAGCCAGGCCACCCCTCGGTTAGGACCACCTCTCTGTTGTTTTAGAACATTGACAACTGACTTTTAACTAACTAATGACTGCTTTTCCCTTTTACCCCACAGGGTAGAGTGGTTTTGAAGAGAAGAAACCGCTTTCTGACCGGTGGCCTTGAAGGAGAAGAACCTATTTTTGTGCATCGTTTACCAATCATGCCACACAAGCATTTATTTTTAGTACATTTTATTTTTTCATAAAATTGCTAATGCCAAAGCTTTGTATTAAAAGAAATAAATAATAAATAAAAGACCGTGGTATTGA